CCGCCCATGGCAGCGCGAATCTATCACATTTTTTTGTTTTGTGGCTTGTGAATCATGCACCGTATTCATTCGATATTGTTTTCTATTCCATATAATTGGATCCGGAGACCCGTTGATTCCAACTCTGCATCCTTTAAGCATAGATGATGCACATGGTGATTCCGTTCCTCTTTTCCTCTATCATCAGTTCTTCTCTCGTGTCATGACCATGCCGTCAACATTCTTCCTTTTCCTAATACCTTTCAACTCCGTCTTCGTCCTCTACGGGGTCGGATTTGTCATTTATGCCCGGCCATTACGTCTGCGTATGTTCTTTTTTATATTTGCACGCCTACTTTGAATATATCATCAGTCTACACCTACGGATTGTTAGCTATGTAAGATAACAAATATGTGTGAGTGACAGCTGTTTGTATTTCACCGTCGCTGATTTCACTCGGTTAAATCTCTCCTCCCATGTTTGTAATCAAGTCAGAGAATGGTTTCATTGCACAATAAGACGAGACTGCACCTTGATCTGATATGATGCCTTGTGCACCTCTGACCCAACGAGCTATATGGGATGGCTTTTGTGAAGCCGCAGATCTAATCATGCCTGGAAGGTCAATGGGTAGAGGTAAGACGAAGTCCAGTCTCCTGGTCCCCCAGGTTGGGGGTTCGACTCGAGTTAGCGTCTCAGTTGGTAAATTGGAAGAGGAGTAATTGATCCAAGTAAACGGGCCTCTACTTCGCCTTGCGGTCAGGTTCTTGTCAGAACTAAAGGTTTTGGACGAGAACCCTAATCGTTCTCCTGCTTAGTGGCTGGACACCCTGGCAGTACCTGTCCATCAAACTGTAATGCATAAACAAACAAAAAATTATTTCCTACTGCATCGGTCGTCGCGCAGGATAACCAGGACCGCGCTGCCCATTGCATCGAGCGGGGTAGGTAGTGATAAGCGGGCTACTGCTCAGATATCCCAACTTTGTCTTTATTACCCAACCCTCTCCCTTTACCCTTTCTTCCGACCCGTAACATTCCCTCAGACAACTTGTTCGTCACTCGCCAAAGTTCGTTGCTAAGGAGCTCGTTAAGTAGTTTACCACAAAATAGATTGCATATTCTGAAGTCTCGTCAGCCACTGAATCTGGGGGCCTTCAACGTGAGGACTCTGATGCAGGTAGGTCATGTCTGGCGCATACCATGAACTCTTTGGGAATGGATGTCTGCCGCGTGTCGGAGACTCGAATCCAGGATCCTAGTGCTATAGGCCACTTGAGTGCACCGCGGTTGTCATCGAGGTTCTTCCTACGCACGTCAGGTGATGACGGAGCCCGTTCTGTAAGACAGCGTGATGTGGGCATTGTACTGAATAATATAGCTGAAGCCGCACTACTCGATTGGATCCCCGTCAACAGCCACTTATGTGCGATGCGCCTCCAAGGGTCTATAAGCATCCAAAAGAGAGGCATCACAAAAACGTGTTTATTCGTCATTTCAGCGTATGCACCAACCAACTGCAGACTGGCGCACAAAGGGACGAGTTTTATGATAAATTTCGAAATATGCCCATACTAGCATTTAGAACACAATTTCAGGCGAACAATTGTTTTCAATAACTCATAATCATACCATTACAGTTTATATGGGGGAAAAATCCTAGGGGTTGGGAAGAGAACAATAAAATGTGTATGCGTGTCTGTCTGTGTGTGTGTGTTGCACACCGCATGCTCAAATCTGTGCTTCCGGGGTTTGCAGTTGTGTCACGACGGTCGTGTGACCCAGT